CACCCTTATGAACTTTAGCATACCACATTGGTTCATCCATACAAAGTGTCTCCCTGCTATTAGTTCTCCGTCCATATTTTTTTCTGAGGTAGGAAGATATATGACAACATCAATGCGACCTCTTATTTCTTATGCATAATAAATATAAGGGGAAGACATGGAAAGCAGTATTACAGATTATAGATGTGTCTAGCAGATTCAAAGCGAGTGTTCCTCTAATATTGAAGAATAGTTCTGAAGTTGCTAAAGTATTTAAGAAAATTTATGATAATCCCAATAACCCTCTTACATATCCAACACTTTTACAATGTGATGGTGGGACAGAATTCAAAAAATCGATAAGTCAGCTAATAGAAGCGCATAATGTCACAATTCGAGTAATTGGTGCATATAGTCATCGGGGACTCGCAATTGTAGACAGATTCTGTAAGACGTTAGCAGAGATGCTTTATAAAATCCAGTATGCCGTTGAATCAATATTTAAAAATCCTAAATTAATAAGAGCATGGGTCAAGTATTTGCCAGAAGTAATAGATTATCTTAATAATTATCCGACGTGCCTCATTCGAGCTCCAGGTTCTACAAAGTGGGGCTTAGCTCCCAAACTAGCCATTCGGTTAGAACGAGTTGAATCTAGGCCATCTACAAAGTATAAGCGTCCTGTTGGAAAGAATAAGGAGAATAGGTTGAAGAAGGGTGATACAGTTCGTTATCTGCTTGCTAATGCAGAGTGGAAAGGGGAGTATGGAGAATCAGAGACATGCGACGGATCCAACGTTTTCACCTAGTGTTACAAATCATTAGTTGGATAGTTTGGAATTAACCAATCAGAGTATAGGAATTTTTAGTTGCAACTAGTTGATTATAATTAAAACAACTAATCGATTGGAAAAATTTTGACCAACTAAGATCACTATTTTCACCTTCTTTACATAAAATTCGAAAAATTGTCATAACGAAGAATGAACCAATTTTATATTATTTAGGGGGAGAATATGCCCCGTCATGTGGATTTGTGAGGGAAGAGCTCATGCACGTGAATATTGATATGCTTCAATATCCGCCCAGAGTATATTGGAAGAAAACACTTGTTCCAGGTCTGTTAATCTCATCCGTATTATAAATAAAATAGCTAAGGCGCAAGCTTATGCTGAGAAACGCGGTGGGGAGTGTCTTGGTAGAACTAATCAAATAAATGGTTACGATGTATATCTCTGGACATGTGGACCCATCAATGGTATGCACCTTATAAAATCCAGAAGCGAAAATTTGAATGGTGTCCAATTTGTTTCCACCATGCTGATGAGAGACGATGTAGATATATTTTCAAAGATCTGTTAGGTAAAAAATTTCCATCCTGTAGACCGTTGTTTTTAGATGGGATGCAATTAGATGGGTATAATGAAGAGCTAAAATTAGCGTTCGAATTCCAGGGGCCTCAACATTTTTCTGAGAATCCAATGTTCCATAAGCGAGGCAGGATAGACTTAGACAGCCAACGGATGCGCAATCAAAAAAAAGCGGGATATATGTAAAGAGCGAGGTGTAGATCTTATTGAAATACCATACGATTGTGATTTATATCCGTTCATTAAAAGTGAATTGCAAAAGAAAGGTTATTTATCATATAAAGAATAAATATTACTTATCTGGCTAGAATGAAAGATAAAGGCATGCCCATATATGTATATAATATCAATGAGACATCTAAAAAATCATCAGAACGAATGAAGGGTAATAAGTATTCGCCAGACTGCCCATTTAGGATGCTCATAAATGGAAGCTCAAATGGTGGAAAAACTAACATGGGAATAAATCTCATGTTAGGTAAGAAACTCAATGGGAAAAAAGGCGATCGGTATATTAGAAATGATGATCTGGTATTAGTAGCAAAGCATTCTGAACCGAAATGGGAGTTAGTAAAAAATGCATATCAGATCTTTGCAAATGCCCCGAAACCATATCGAGAGGATGTAACATTCAAAAAGATAGCACCAGACAAGATCCCCGATATAACTAAATTCTCTCCGGAACGAAGTACGGTTATTGTTTTTGAGGATCTATGTGCCGAACCCAAAAAAGTGCAAGAACGAATTATTCCTTACTTCATTAGTGGCCGGCATCAAAATGTCTCACCCATATATGTGAGCCAGAAATATACACAAACACCTAAATTATTCGTGAAAATATCTCACATTTATGCCTATTTCGGGGCTCGGGCAGTAGAGACGATATTAGTAGAATCGTACGTCAATACACAGATGATCCAAAAAAAGCATCCAAGATAATTGATAAACATTTGTGGGATCGAAATTTTGTAGTCTTTGATTTTACTAAGGCCATTGATGATCCTCTAGCAGTTAGACTCGGTTGGGACCAACCTCTTGATCTTTCTAATGAGTAGGCTCGAAGAGCCATTGCTCTGCAATAATAATAACAAGCGCGATCTATTATCAACACTAGGGACTTTTGTGTCAGATGAAAATGGGTTGATATATAAAAATTAGAGTAAAAAAATGTTACCAGCTTTTTTTTAGGAAAGATAACGAAATAAAGTCTAAAGTACTATGCTCCTATTTCTAAAAGTCGCTTTCGGAATCTAACCTGCAATTGACTCTTTTTAGAACTTATCCAATTATCCGGAATATAATATTCTTCATATTGTTTATTAATAATGGAACTGCGCATCATAGGATCGTTTTTATATATTTCAATCCATTTAGTACGCCATTGATTAAATTGTTCTTGAGTCTGAGGATTTTTTACTTTACGTCTCGTTAAACCTAGAAATTTCTCATCATTAGAAGTACCATCATTTCTCATTGCATTCCAAGCTTGGGTTGCTATTGATTCGGGTCTATTCTTATAATTTCGATAAGCCATTTGTATAATTCTTGCTTTTCCAAAATTAGTGTATAGAGTGAAAAATTAGTGAATAAGCAGAACTAGACTTGGAGATGAAATTAAACACTTTTAAAGGTATACAGAGCGAAAATCGGTGTATAACACAACATTAGACTTAGGGACGGACGAAATTGAAATTATTACACTCAAATTATTAGAACCGACGATCCTTTATGCAAATGAACGTTATACAAATAGACAAGTATGACTGTATTAGTGTAACTACGAATAAAACCAAAAACTTTCTATTTTGAGTCGACGGAAAGTATAGATGCAACATGGCACTCAATGCCAAGGCGTCGCATTTGTGGAAGTTTTACTGCACCCTGTAAATATACACGCAGTGTAACTTTAACCCTGCCGAAAATATTTACTGTATGTATTAAAAATTACGAGGAAAATCTCATAAATATGCTATCGTTTGTCGTTTCGACAAAATACAATCGTATTTTTTTTAATCACGATGAAGGGGCAATCTCTTAAATTTTCTTTGGTTGGTGTTTTTTTCCTGCTAACATTGTCAGCATCGATTATCGTTGTTGATGCTGGAAAATGTTCAACTAAGACAACAACGACAACAACAACGACGACAACCTCTTGCACCACTACTCCCACTCCCGTTCTCACTTGTCCCGATTGTCGAGACCCTCATCAAAATTGTGGTGATGGTCAGGGTCATCAAGATGGCAAACACTGTATAACAAATGTCACTTGTACGCTTACAGAAACTGAATGCAAGAAACCATGTTGCTCAGGTCCCGGTGCTCCAGGATGGGACAACAATATTATTTTAGACGCATCATGGACGATTATTAATACGGCCGACCCCCAAGAGTGTTGTCAGACATGTTTTGATTCCCCGGATTGTCTTGCATGGAGGATGGGTATAGATGATGTTACATGTTTCCATAACAATGATCTCCGAGATTCCCATTATTGTAAAACGGGCCCGCTATCTCATGACGTCTCCATCGCTAGTGGAACTATGCGCTGTGGTAGCAATTTTCCTTTTTTACCATGTGTTTAGTTAATTTTTTTTTCGTTTGTTATAAACGAAATCTCTTTTAGTTAGTTTTTTTGTTTCGTTGTAAACGAAGTTCGGTTTGTTTTCTGCTTGTTAGTAAACAAAATTTGTTGTTTTTCGTAATTTAGTAAAATAAATGCTGTTTTGTAATTATTTTTTTTTGGTTTTTTAGTAAAACGAAATATTTTTTTTTGTTTATTTGTTTTATTAAATAACTAAGATGAAAGTGTAAAGAACAATTAAATGGGAGAAGGGTGAAAGGTTTGGATTTATCGGTATTCGTAACATTACATTTTTTATTATGAAATAATAAATTATCTTTGACAACGTGGATGAGTTGGAAGAAACTTTGTTTGTTTGAACACAAATTAACAACGTCTACTACGCTAGTCGCTACGACGTTAAAATAATACTGTTATGCCTTGAAAACAGCGAAAATGCGCGCGAGCGCTTCTGAGTGAGTTAGCCAAATATATTCACTTTCAACAGACGAATACGGAATAAAATGTCAGTCAGTTTACACGATATTCTGAAGGGCTTTATTATCGCAACAAATACACATACGAGTTTACCAACTATGACGAGAAATAATGGTTGCTGATATACGGTTTTGTACTGTCATTAGTCTCGGTATTCTTATCAAAATCTTTATCTCGTTTGAGAAGGAGAGTAAATATTCTAGTATACTCTTACCTACTGGAGATTGCCTAAACCGAGAAACAGTTATGAAACGTCAATTAAATTCCAGTTATAAATATAATATAGCTACTATGTTGACATGAAGAGAAAGTTATTTATAAACAGCTAACGTTGTTAATTTTATATCAGATTATAATCGATATATGTATTCGATTATCTTAGAGCAAGTTTTGTTTAAATTGAACCCGCTATTCTGTACAAGTCGAAAGCAATCGTGTACTAAACATGAATAATTTTAAGCTTGCCTTTCACCTTAAGTGTTATCTTTGTAAAACTGCAATTTCCATTTTGGTAAGCAACTAGCGATGCTTGAGATACGCTTCGCAGAGTTTGTGTTAGTTTGGTATCTGTTGTCTGGGGGAATGTTAGGGTTGACGTGTTTTGTTTTTAGAATGTTTGTAATGAGATGGTATTTTGTTTAGATATTGCTTGGCTTTAATTTGCATGGTAGAAGCGGTTATACAAGGGCAACGGTAGCTTTGTTTTAATTGTAAACGGGTTATGTATCCAAAGCTTGCTCGAATGTTAATGTTAGTATATTAAATTAATGAACGTATCGATGGGATAGTTGAAATTATATTATGCGCGATCTGTTTATCGATTCCATTTACTGTCTTATCATGTTAAGTAATAAAGCATGTTTAGGCAACGAATTATTGTTGAAAAGAATCGGGTAAAATGTCGTATGATGGAATGGACAAAGTCGATGATGTATAAAAACATCTTCATAATCTGCAAGGAGATTAAATTCAGGATATCATGGCATGTTTCAATGACCGAAATGTTGACAAAAGGTTACAAATTTAAATTGGTTTATATTCAAGTCAATAATATTACGAAAAGTAAATTTTATCGTTCAGCTAATTGTTTACGAACGGATTGAGGTTTTTTAATACATTACGTTATGCGATAAAAAAACTCGGATTTGGTTCTCAATTGCGTAGGATTCAAGAAGATCAAGATATGCCGGATGCCGATGCCGAAAACGACACCTAAACGCGTTAGGGAGAAACCTCTACAATTCTACAATAATATTGATCACGCCGAATCTAAAAGTAAAGATGTAAACAGTGTTGTTATTATGATTTATTTTGTGTTTGAAGAGCGCCGTATATAATCATTACAAAAAGCAGAAAAAAGATTACGGTAAAGAGGGAGCCCGCACCCTAGTAAAAGCCGAGGTTAGGAACCGAATTTCTGAAGAAATATCAGACATTGCCTTGCGAAAAAGAACTGAAAGAGCTCGAAAGATGTATGAACTTTTTAGTACTATAAGTGAACAAAAAATATCATGGATTGCCCATTGTCTATTTTAAATCTAATCAATGATTATTATTATTATGTAATTGTTAAAATTTTGAAGTAAAAAAACAACAAAACAAATGATTACGTGTTTATCAAAAACTGCATCTTACTGCGTCACATTACTGCGTCCTTGTGACAATACGTATTACAGTGAGCCTACGCCCTTGCCTTGGAGGTTGATTGCACGTGATTGAACGAAATTTTATTTAATCGTAAATTAGTTTCATTACGCTCATTGATGTAACGATCTAGCGCATTGATATGTTTGAATAATTCTTTCTAAACTGCTTGCAATTTACAATCGGTAATTCAACACTATCGTCAGCTTCATTTGCAAACTGTTATCAAACAATTTTATGGACACTGGATTTGCAACATGGCTTGTTATTGTTACAATAAAGAAGACAACTCAGCATACAATAATTAAAATGTCAGGCACATAGTAATATAATCATATCTTTATTTTTTTTTTAAATGAATATATTGAGAGTTAGAGGTCGGCTAAGTAAAAATTATAGAGTAGCAGGATGTTTCAAGGGAGGAAAGGCATAGATCTATTGATTCGAATTCGGTTGCGACCCTACCAAAATTGTTATGGTGGTTTTGAAGAACTTGTTCGATCTCATCAAGTCTCACAGTAGAAGTATTAAGCATTGTCAAGATTCTTTGTATCTCCGCTATAAAGTTTTCGTCGCGTGAGGTAAGTTCAGTATTAAATTTTGCACGGTAATCGGTGAGTTCGGTTAAGAACCTGGCATCACAATTGGCAAGAAATTCATTAAACGTGGTATCACGTGCAGAAGGGTCCGAATTATGCTTGATGTTGATGTCTTGCTTGGTGATACGTGAAAAATAGGCTCTTAGAGCCATTACTTTGTAATAAAACGTGGCACCAATGACCAAGTAAATGGAGATTTTCTGGATGAACATCAATAGGCCGGCGAAATCCAAAAATGGAGAGATCCCCGAAACTGCAAGTGATGTCATCTATAAGTGAGAGTTGGTCTATTAGCATATATACACGAATGTGGGGAAAGTGTCATAGCATAAACAAACCTTAATCGTTAGAAATTAGATACATTTTTGAGTGTATGAAGCTTTTTATTTATCGAGTGTAAGATTTATTAGTGGAGCTCACAAGGCTAAAATTTGTTAAATGTTTTATTCTCCAAAATCGTTAATTATTATAACGAAGGAGTAAAGGGTCTCAGATATTTTTCTCCGCCTTTTTTTATTCTCGCTCGGATCTCTGTATGCCAACATGTGGTTTGATCGATGAAGTAATTATGGGAATGTGTATGCTGCTTAATCCAAAGAACGCGTCTAATATTCCCTAAACTGCTCTCATCACTTCATAAAGAATGGTAGCTTCGAAATATTTCCCTTAGCATGTTGTGGGGGTTACACAGCCATGCTACTATTTTCAACATGTTGTGGGGAGTACACAGCCATGCTTGCTCTTCAACACTCCTAAAAGAGGTGAGTAAATCGTGCTTACTCTACCAGCATGTCGTGGGGAGTACACGGCCATGCTTCTCTAAACGACACGTTGTGGGGGGTACACAGCCATGCCTTCTAATTTATCAAACTTCCTAATTCGACTTAATGCGTTACTATACTACGAAGTGACCAAACTTGTTCCCATTCCTTTAACACGTTGTGGGGGGTACACAGCCGTGTTTTCAATCAAAACATTATTTGCTGCTCGGATTATTTGCTACTCGGAATTGATTTGGCAGCAGATGAAGAGTATCGTCATGCGTAGTGTGCTAGTATTAATAGGGATGGGTGGGTGGGAAATTCGATAAGCCGGAAAATCAAAGTTTCGGGCAAACGTAGCAGCAGAAGAAAACACAAAAACATCACCTATTCGAATATCCATAGCTTTATTTTGATTTCTTACATAATCACTAGTCTTAAATCATCATTACATCATTTTACTTCATCACTTGCACACAAAAAAAATGTAAACAGGTCCCGATCCTCGCGATAATAACCCTCCCGTGACTTCGTCTCGGTCGGTTCTATTATTCTCGCTCGGATCTCTGTATGCCAACATGTGGTTTGATCGATGAAGTAATTATGGGAACAAGAAGAGAATCGTAATATGATTGCATTTTTTTTTTTTTTTTTTTTTTTGTTTTGTTTTGTTTTTTTTTTTTTTAAAATCCCATTTTAAGAGATGTACCAATTTGTGTGGTGCCGACTGATCTTAAATAAAGTAAGACTGCTTTCGACAACCATCCTCCAATTGCCATTATTTGAGGAAGAGTAAGTCCTGCCTTCATAGCTGCAGTTGCACCTCCAATTCGAAGACTATGACTTGCATATTTTCCTTTGAGTCCAGCATGATTCGCAATTCTTTTCACAATTGCACTTATGGCTCCTACACTCAGTTTATTTCCTGTGGACGACAGAAAAGCATAATTTTTCCTGAAGTCCTTCCTGATGCTTATATAGTATTTCCATAATCGTACTGGACAAAATTTTGAATCAGTCGATTCAATAGGAATAAACTTCCCTCCTCCAAGTTGATCGGTTTTTGATCGGTTTATTCGAATCCATAAAAGATCATTTTCCTCTTTAAAATCTTCCAAGGTAAGATTACTTAGTTCTCCAGCTCTTCTCATCGTTCGGATTCCTATAGCAACTAAAGCACAGTCCCGGGCCCATAATACTTTATCTGTTTTCCCTGGAGGTCGATTTACATAATTTTTCAAAGCTGAAATTGGTAGTGGATCCTGTGGCCACTTTGCTTCCCGGTCTAATGCTGCTGCTTTTGCAAGTGATTTAGCTAATTTTCTTACTTTCCAATTACGTGTTGGATTTGGAAAATCATTCATTTCATGTTGATTCGCAATTGCTGTAAGAATTAAAAATGATTGGTTTGATTTTTTATAAAAATCAGACCAAATCAAATAAGCCAGTATGCTGTTTGACGATGTTGGTAAATGGGGTAACTTGTTTGCTTGGCAAAATTCTGAATAATCATTCCATAGTTTTAAAAGTTTCCGCTCATAACTGGATTTAGGTTCTAATAGGCAATAAGCATTTGTAAGAAGTTTGTTCAAAAAAGTATTTTTACAGCCATAAATTTCCATTTTGGGTTGTTCCACGGTTCCGTTTTTCCATTTAAGCTTGGCTGAAATATTATTTTTGGGTCTGGAAGCATTAATTCTAAATGTTGTGTTGCCATTAAAATCGGCCACCATGGAGCTGAGACCCATATTGGAATTATCACTGTAGATATCGCTTGGCATTCTAAAATATGATAAAAAACCCGATCCAACAGTCCTAATGGGGCACAAATATAGTTTATTTCTCCTTTCCAATTTTGAGTACAACAATCCACGGCTTCTGCTGTTGGACAATACCAACGAGAATTGAAACGCTTTAAATGTGTTGATATTTCGCTGGCCATACGATCTATAGAGTGTGGACCCCAAACTTGCTCCAATTGTTCGAAAATTTCCTTTTTTAGTCTCCAATCTGATTCGTCGAAATGTCTTGTTAACATGTCTGCTGGGTTTTCTTGACTTGGTATCCAACGGAATTCGTAAATCCAAATATCCATTTCGTTGCAAAAATCCCAAATTTTTCGCATATAATCCTTTTGCCATAGTGTTTTCCCTCCCATCTCTAATGTTTTCCTTGCAACTTTGTTGTCGATAAAAACTGTTATCCAATGATGTGCTAGATCTTTTCTGAAAGATTTCAAACCCAATAGAGCTGCTTCCGATTCTAATTTGGCTATTTGTGTATAGTGATATTTTTGGTCCCAATTTCCAAAAGCACTTTTGTTTAATAGAGTTGCTGACCATCCTGTTGTTGAAGCATCTACGAAAAGAGGCAGAATTCGGGATGGTTTCCATGCTGGCTGGCCATTTTTTATTTTTAAATTTTTGATAAGCCATTCGGCATCCAATCTTGCTTGATTTGATAAGTATATTTCTTTGTCCCATTCCCAAGGTTTCCGATTTATTGAATCTATTATTGTGTAAAATTCCAAACATCGTACTTTTGCTGGAGCGAAGGCTCTGCTCAAACTCATTAGTGTTCCAGTTACTGAAGCTAAATATCGAACTGATATTTTCTTCTTTTGAATTAAATTCTTCAAAGCCTGTATTGCTGTTATTAATTTTTCATCTGGTACAATTATCAAAGCCTTTACTGTGTCTAAAATTAATCCGTAAAATTTTGGAGTTTGAGTTGGTTCCCAATGGCCTTTTTCGGCTAGAACAAATCCCCCATAAGTTAGATCTTTTAATATTATGGTATCTCTTATTTTTATTAATTCCTCCCGATTTGAATGTGCTATCCAAATATTGTCGATATGGTTTCCACAAAATATTCCTTTTGATCTCCAATGACCTATTAAGGCACGCATTATTTTTGAAAAAATCCACACTGCTTGACTTAAACCGAAAGGTAAAACTCGATAATGGAACCAATTTTCTTTGTAACGGAACCCCAGTAATTTTTGTGCCTCCCTTGTCATTAATACATGATGGTAACCTTCTTTTAAATCTAATACAATCACCCACCAGTTTTTCCCCACTGTGCAGATAAAGGTATTTAATCCTTCGAAACGAAAAGATTTTTCTGGCAATGTTTTGTTGAGTCTCCTGAGGTCTATTATTAATCTCCACTTTTTTAATCCTTTTTTGGGACGTAAAAATATTGGGCTTACTTCCATTAAGGAATTTGGTCTTGAAGGTCCTGTACCTACTTTTTGAATTGCTCCTTCGTTTTCTAATCGAGTAAGTTCTGTTATTAACCATTTCTCTTGTTCTTGTGTTATTGTATACTGCTTTGGTTCTTTTAAGGATGCCAGTTGAAGTAGTCCTTTCGGAAATAATGGTACTCCATACTCTAGCCAACTTAAAATTATTGCTGATGGTTTTATTGTTTCCCTCCAAAATTTTATTGTTTCCGGTTTGTTTAGGTTCCCAATTACTGATCGAGTGGAGTCCCGAGCGTAGTCAACTGGTGTATTTGTAATAAGATGTTTGATTTGTACGTTCATGATTTTGTGGTGATTTCGCTCTAATAGCACTTCTGTCTGATTTAGAGGAGGAACAACTGTTTGCATAATGCCCAATTCCGCCGCAGTTGTAGCAAACACCTTTTCCTTTCTCTTTTCCATCTTCATATTTCGATTCTGTCTTGAATTTAATCCCATCATAATGTTGTTTCCCATTATTTCCGCTCTGAAAAAACTGTTTCTCTTCTAAATACTTCCGTTTATTACTCTTTTTGA